TTTTAATTTGATCAGGTCCCATTTATTTATTTTTGTTATTGCTGTGATTGCCTTGGGGTCTTCTTCATAAATTCTTTGCCTAGGCCAGTGTCTAGAAGAGTATTTCCAACGTTTTCCTCTAGAATTCTTATAGTTTCACGCCTTAGGTTTAAGTCTTGTTACTCACCCTGAGTTGATTTTTGTGAGAGGGGAAAGGTGCGGATCCTGTTTCAGTCTTCTACATGCAGCTTCACTGTTTTTTGCTTTGAGTCACTTGGTCTCAGACTTGTTGTCTGTAAAATGGGAATAATAACAGTTCCTATCAGGCCTTGTGCCCATGAACTTCGGAGAGTGGGTTGTCGTCCTCAGTGACCCTGTCTCTGATCTCCTCTCTCCCCAGCTCCTCTGACCCATGGATCCGCCAGGCCTGGCCAAGCGGCAGTGTCTGTGGCGCCCCTGTCTGGCGGGGCTGCTGTTGCAGCTACTTTTGGTGGTGTGCTTCTTCTCTTACCAGCGCGTGTCTCGAGACGGTTCCACTAGGTCCCCTAGGCCAGGGTCCATTGCATTGGAATCTGTCACCTCGGCTCCCAATAGGTCAACAGGGACAACGTCCACCAATGGGTCCTGCTGCCAGGCCACCTCAGGGGCCCGTGCCCGCCCGCCCCTCCTCATCCTGCTGTGGACGTGGCCTTTCAACAGTCCTGTGTCTCTGTCCCGCTGCTCCGAGATGCTGCCCGGTGCGGCCGACTGTCACCTGTCTGCCGACCGCAGCGTGTACCCGCAGGCGCACGGGGTCATCGTGCATCACCGGGATGTCATGTACAGTCCCACGACCCAGCTCCCGCCGTCCCCGAGGCCACCGGGGCAGCGCTGGGTCTGGTTTAACATGGAGTCACCCACCAACTCCTGGCACCTGCAAGCCATGGACGGACGCTTCAACCTGACCATGTCCTACCGCAGCGACTCCGACATCTTCGTGCCCTACGGCTGGCTCGAGCCGTGGCCCGGCCAGCCTGCCCATGCCGTGGTCAACCTCTCGGCCAAGACCGAGCTGGCGGCCTGGGTGGTGTCCAACTGGAGGCCGGACTCGGCCAGGGTGCGGTACTACCAGGCGCTGCAGATGCATCTCAAGGTGGACGTGTACGGAAGAAACCACAAGCCACTGCCCCAGAGCGGCATGGCGCAGCTGCTGGCCCGGTACAAGTTCTACCTGGCCTTCGAGAACTCCCAGCACCGGGACTACATCACAGAGAAGCTGTGGAGGAACGCCATGGACGCCTGGGCCGTGCCCGTGGTGCTGGGCCCCGGCCGGGACAACTACGAGCGCTTCCTGCCCCCCGACGCCTTCATCCACGTGGACGACTTCCGGAGCCCCCGCGACCTGGCCCGCTACCTGCAGGTGCTGGACAAGGACCAGACGCGCTACCTCGGCTACTTCCGCTGGCGGGAGGCGCTGCGGCCACGAGCCTTCAGCTGGGCGCTGGCTTTCTGCAAGGCCTGCTGGCAGCTGCAGCAGGAGTCCCGGTACCAGACGGTGCCCAGCCTGGCCTCCTGGTTCACGTGAAGGGACCTCCCTGGCTGGGACCTCCCCGGCTGGGACCTCCGCTGTCTGGGGCTGCACCCACCTGGGGCCTCACCTGCCTGGGTCATCTCCTGTCAAGAGCCACACCTACCTGGGGCCTCACCTGCCTGGGTCATCACCTATCCCGGGCCACACCTATCTGGAGCTTCACCTGCCTGGGTCATCACCTGTCAAGAGCCACACCTACCTAGGGCCTCACCTGCCTGGGTCATCTCTTGTCTGAGGCTTTACCTGTCTGGAGCCCTTCCTGCCTGGGACCTCACCTATCCAGGGCCACACCTACCTGGAGCCTCACCTGTTCGGGTCCTTGGTCGCCGGAGATCTCACCTACCTGGGACTCTACACGCTGAGTGTCACTGCTCCCAGGAACTTCAGCGCTGGGACCTTGACCTGCCGAAGGTTTACCTGCTGTGGTCCTTGGCTGCTGGAGACCTCAGCTCTTGGGGACTTTATCTGCTGGGGACCCGCTACCAGACACCTTGCCTCACTGACTGTTACCTGCCTGGGGACCATGGCTGCTGGGGACCTCACCCACCAAGGCACTCGGCCCCTGGGGAACTGGCTCCCTGGGGTCCCGCCCCCGGGGTGATGGATCCGGCTGACCCACCCGCCGCGATCATCGCTGCTGTTGATAATAGCCTGTGACATGTGCAGACAGACAGTGTTGTCACCATTTCCACATGGTGATGCGGTCGGGAAAATTGATGTGTGCTCCCCTGCCCCGTTACTCTAGAACAGTGGTTGTCACCCCAGGGCGGTTCTGCTCCCCAGGGGACACTCAGCAATGTCCAGAGACATTTTTGGTTGTGACATGGGGGAGGGGACTGATGGCATCTTGTGGGTAGAAGCCAGGGATACTCCAGGCACCCTACAATGCACAGGGCAGCCCCCCACATGGAGGATGGTCCAGCTCCAAATGTGCAGAGGTGACAAAACCCTGCTCTAGACCTTTCTATGCCCCCGAGGCAGGTGTTCAGAGCCCTGGGGGCGCCCCTCCTGCCTCAGCTCCCTGGGGTGGGCTCCGGCAGGGTGGGGAGACCAAGACCCAGTGGGGGTGGACAGCAGGGCCGCCAGGCTGTCCAGGGGTGAACGTGGGGCAGGGCTGGGACAAGGGGACCTTCTCTGCCCAGCGTGCAGGGCCAGAGGGGTGCTCGGGGCAGGACAGAGGAGAGCAGCTCCCCTGAGAAGGAGGGCGAGGGGTGCATGTGTGTGACTGTCAGCGTGGCCGTGTGCACAGCCAGTGGCACACGGTATGACCGTCAGCGTGTGGCTGTCATGAAGGCGTCGCTGTGTGTGTAACCGCGGGGTGATTCTGACTGTGTGTGCACGTGGGATGTGAGAACCGCCTGTGACTCTGCATGTGTGTCCGTGGTTATTCTGAGCATGAGACAGAATATGTGGCCTGGGCGTGTGTCTTCCAGTGTGGGACATCGTGGGCACCCCTCTCTGAGAGCGCCAGGCTCTCTGTGTGGCGGTGCAGGGCTGTGCGTGGATGGAGGCGTGTCCTGGGTGTGATGAAGCGGACCGTGTGTGCAGCTGCGTGTTCGACTCTCCGTGGATGTCTGCGCGAGGGGGTGTGGCGGTGGGCGTGGCTGCGTGTCTCTGTGGATGGGCGGTGACTTTGAGAGCGCCCCTCTCTGAGTGTGCAGCTCTGAGTGTGACGGCGACTCAGTGTGTAGCAACTTGGGTCGTGGGTCTGCGTGTGATCTTGTCTGCTGAGTCCCTGTGCGGGAGGCGGTCTCTGTGCTCCATGACTGTGTGCATGTGTACATGTGTGTGCGTGTGTGTGTGTGGCAGCTGCGACCCCAGCCCTGTGTGGGGCGTGCACTGCTGAGAACCCCAGCCCCCGGGGCCTGCCCTGTTTACGTTCCAATTCTCTGGCGGGCTGGGCCAGCGCCCTGTGGTTGCGATGTCGGATCTGGTGGGAGACAGGAAGGCCGGGGTCCTGAGAGGCCCAGGGGAGGGTGCACAGAACTCACTAACACGCACACAGAGGCAGAGGGCTTAGGGACCACCGACCCAGGCCCCAAGGCCAGTTTTCCCACTGCGTGTCCTGCACGGAACAACTTTCCTCTCTGAGGCGTGGGGCCTCCTGGGCCGTCTAGGATGGGGAAACTGAGGCTCTGAGTAAGGACCACTTTGGCTTCTGTGGTCTCTCCGCTGAGGCCGGGCTGAGTCAGCCCAGACAGTGGAGGAATCCACCACACCAAACCTCAGAATCAGAAGGCTGCAGGGGCGGGTGGGGACCCCAGCCAGCTGTGGCCCTGAAACTGTCTTCCAAGCAGACCACCCACAGGCTGGGGCCTGACCGCCAACCCCTGCTCTCAGGGCTCCCTGGAAGTCCTGCTTGTTAGCTGCCTTGAGTGCCTCCAGATATAGCTGTGGTCCTGGGGGGCTGGGGATGTTCCTGCAGGGCTGCGGGATGGGGATTGAGTCTGGGAAGGACACAGTGGTTAGACAGTGGTCCTCAGTGCAGTCGTAAGGGAAAGAGGGGAGGGGACGGACAATGGTCCCTTAGGAGACCCATCCATCTGGGGGAAAGAAAGGTGTCATCTGAGGAGCCCCCGGTCTGGGGCAGGGGAGGAGGACATGTCCTTGAAAGTTAGGAAAACTGGGGGAAGGGGAAGTTGCAACCTCAACCCCCCAGTCTGAGGGTTAGAAGGGGAAGGGCCCCTGCCCTCTGGTCTCCCGGGGTCTGCCCGGCTCCAAGCTCCCACCCCTCATCAGACTGTGGGACCCAGCGACCCCTCCCGCGCTCTGGGAACCCAACACCCCCCTCATCCGGGGCCTGCCAAGCATCAAGGTGACACCGTGGGCAAATCTAAACACCGCACCGAGCTTTTTCCATTCTCCGAGGAGGCTTGTCATAAATCCCCCCTCGAGGCCAGGCCAGGGCTTTTATGGGTCCAGGACCCAGGTCCCCAGGGACCCAGCTCTACTCTAGCAGGCGCCGGCTTCGGGCTGGATGGGACTGGCGCCCGCCCCAGACCTCTCTCCGCCCCAGGAGGTGGGCAGCGCATGGGTATTTTTAGCTGGTGAAAGGAGATAGTGGCTTCGCGTTCACCCTGGTGGGGTCAGACCAGGCCAGAGGAGACCCTTTGGGCCAGGGAGGCCTGGATCCACCTAGACGTCAGTCTCTTCATCTGCAGATTGGCTCCCCCTTCCTCCTTCCCAGAAGCCCACACAGCTGAGAGGGGCAGATCAGGACAGGACAGGGAAACTGGGTCCACCTAGACCTCAGTCTCTTCATCTGCAGAGTGGCTCCACCTTCTCCCCACAGAAGCCCAACAAGCAGAGAGGTGCGGAAGGAGACGTCGGGGAGGGGTAGAGGGACCAGCAGGGAAGTGGAAGGACGGTCCCTGCTAGCTTGACGCCATTCTCCCAGTTTCCTTTTTGTCTCCTGTAAACAGGACTCTCTCTGCATCTACGTCCCTTTTCCCCCAAAGCAAACGGGATCCTCCCCCGACCCTGCGGGAGTGGGAGGGTCCACCCGTCCCCCTTTCCCAGTGGAGACGGCGCCCCCTCCCCATACACCCTCACCCACTCGCCCAGCGTGAATCACAGGCCCAGCTCGATTTCCCACACTTTATCTCAACACAGTTATCGCGAGAGTCCCGGGGCCTCGATGGCATGCTGTGCGCATGCGCAGTCCGTGGACGGCAGGCGCCGTCGGGGAGCGTGGCGTGGCCTCCGTGTCGCCAGGCCCCGTGAGGTAGTGTCACACGCAGGCGCACTCGCGCGCCGACAGCTCGTGCACCGTGTGGTAGCGGCTGTGCGCGTCCAGGAAGGACACCTCGTCCTCGTAGGCCGTCGGGCGGCAGCAGGGCTGCGCGCGCACCCGCTCTCGCCTCAGGCGCCTCCGCTGGCGCAGGCGCCGCAGCCCCAGGTCGTGGACGCGCGCGGCCGCCTCGCACGCGCCTGCGCAGTAGCGGAACAGCACCGTCTCGTCCGACGCGTAGCCCAGGCCCAGCTCGCTCACGCGCACCTCGAGCTCGCGGAGCCCACACGGCCGCGTGCCCGACCGTGCACGCGCACGCCGCCGCCGCGGCCCCGCCCGACGGCGCGGACCTGGGGGCCGCCCGGCCCAGGGTGTCAGCTCGCGCAGCTCCACCGCGTCCGGGGCTCCCTGCAGCAGCGCGCGGTCTGCGAGGGGGGAGAGAAGGGAGTGAGTGGGGGGGCGGGGGGCAGGGGAGGGAGCCCCCACCCTCGCTGCACCCCACTGAGACCCCCCGCCCCCGCCCTGGACGGCTTCTCATCTCACTTCCTGATCTCGGCGGCCCTGGGGCCTCCAACCTGAACCCCCAGGGCTTCCAACATCCCTTTCTGAACCCTGCTCATATACTGGGCCGCCCAGAACCTGGCTCCCCCTTTCTGGGTGTCCGGGGCCACTTTCCGGCCCGCCCCACCCTGAACTGAGCTCACCGGGGTCTCTAAGTCACTTCCTCTGGGCCCCGCGTCCACCCATGGCCGCCCATTCTTCCTCCACCCCAATTCTATCTGGGGCCAAACCTGTGCTGGGCTGCTTGGAGGTGGGGGTCCCCGTCACTGAGCTGTGCAGAAAAGAAAGGGAGGGGCTTACCACGCGGCGGTGGTGACCCACCCGTGGGCTCCCTGCTGCCCCAGGGCCCTGGCGCACTCTCTCTGGGCAGTGCTGGGGGGCTGCTTCCGTGCCCCCGTCCCTCACCCTTTAGTTAGGCCATCAAGGATCTCTGACTCTCTGGGGCCCCCACCCAAAGCCTCCACCGCTTCTCTGAGCCCCTGGGCTGTTCAAACTCCCTAGTCCCCACCACTCCAGCGTGCAGTGGGCCTCAGTTTCCCTATCCAAGAAACCAAATTAGGGTGGTGCACAGGGGAGCAGCAGGGACCGAGGTCTACCCCATTCGAGGCCTGCGTGGGGACTGAACTTAGGGTCAGGGCCACCCCCATGTAACAGGTAAGGAAACTAAACATCCAAGAGGACAGAGACTTGCCCAAGGTCACAGCACTAGCAGGTGGCCGAGAGAGTGGGGCCCAAAGGACATTGTTCCCACCTCCATCATTCACCCAAGTTCGGCTCACGTCCAGCCCTCTTCTCACACTTTCCTGGAGGCGCCCCAAGTCACAGATTCCCAGGGCCCCGAAGCCCAAATTTATGACCCAGGCGGCTGGCCCTGCCCCAGTTCGCCACAGCCCCAAGAGAGAAGTGCCAACGTCGGAATGGCAGGCAGTGCTGGGGCGGAACTGCTGGCAGGCCGAGGCTCCCAGCCCTAGAGCAGGTGGCAGTCACGCTTGCGGTTGCGACAGGAAATCCTGAGTTTAGTCCCTGCCTGTCCCAAGGCTGGTGCACCTGGCTGTCAGAAGAATAGGCCTGGGTGGCCCAGTGAGGAGGGGCTGTCTCTTGTCCTGGGAGGTGTCTGTTCCCACAGGGTGTCTCCGAAACCAGACAAACCCAGATTTGGCCCCGCAATCTCAGACAGGCTGTGGCCCTGCTCGGTGCCTCAGTTTCCCTGTCCGGTGAAGCTTGCATAATCCCTGTCTTGGCGGAGGCTGAGCGGGTCGGAAGCTGGGGGCAGGGATGGCTGGGCAGCCTATTCCACGTTCTTTGATTCCATGGGCGGGACTGGGGTGTGGCCAGGACCGTGCTTGGGGTTAGCTGCACGCCAGGCTCACGTCTGGAGCCGAAAATCCCACCATCCTTGTCCCACCCCAGCGGTGTGTATCTAGTATTCTAGGCAGTTCTTCGTGGGGTTGCCAGATAACACACAGATGCCCCGTCAAATCTGACTTTCACATAAACAATGAATAATCTTTAGTGTGTCTGTCCCCGCCTCCCTCCTGCAGGGCTGGCTACTTGCACAGGGCCTGGAACGCAAAGGGAGTCCCAAGCCTGGAATTCCACCATGGCCGCCGTAGTTTCAGGGCCAGAGCATGGGGACGTGAGGGGCTCGGTGCCCAGTCCCTTTCTCCAGTAGAGCTGGGCTCCGGGACAGGATGCAGGGCGGGCAGTCACCCGCCATGGGCTGAGACCCTCCCCGGTGGTGCCCGAAATTCCTCCATTGGTGATTTGCACCCAGGTCCTGGAGCGCTGGCTTTTGGGGGCCCCTCGCCGCCCGGGTCCCTGGGACCCAGCGTGCCAGGACGCTTGCAGGAGGGGGGCAGCAGGGGAGCTCGCTCGCCCGAGGCCATTCTTGCCCATTGTGAGGATAAGAACGGGGGGTTGTGTGGGGCGGCAGAACGGGCACCGACGTGCACACCGGCAACGCGCACGCGCCCCGCCCGCGTCTACACCCCGCCCGCACACGCGGGGGCGCACACCGGGTCGGGGCTTATGCACCGACTTGGCCCCGCGGAACCGGCACCGGGGCACGGCACGCGCCAGGGGCGGCGTCCTCGGGGTGGGCGGGGCCGCTTCCCTTCCTGGGCGTCTGTCTCTCCCCCGCCCGGTCTCTCTTCTCTCCGTCCCCAGCTCGGTCTCTCTGTCTCTGGGTCGCTCTTCGCCTTTCTAGATCCCTCTCCGCCTCTCCCCCTTGCCCGGGGCAGGTCACTGGGACCTGGATCCAGCTGCCCTCTCCGGCCACCCCCCGCTGCGCTGCGGGGACGTCCGGGCCCAATACCCGCGTCTAATCTCCATCTGGCCCCCACGGCCCTCGGGGCCAGAGCCTAATTCCTTGTGACAGCTGAGCCGAAGGACCCCAGTTCCCAGCCAGGCCGTTGGGGGGATTTGCACCCTCCTTCCACCCTATCTAAAAAAAAAAAACAAAAGACACCCAAACCTGGCTGACTCTTCCACTGCCTGAAACCCCGCCGCTGTGACCGCCCACCCCTGGGTCCGGGGGGCCCGCCCATCCCAGGGCCGGGGCTTACACTGGGCCAGGCGGGCGATCCGGGCGTCCAGGCTGCGAGGCAGGCGGCGCAGCGGGACCAGCGCGGGTCTGAGACGGTGGCTGAGGAGCAGGCCCTCGCGGCACATCCAGAGGGACAGCACCGAGCTGCACAGCACCGAGGCCAGGGCCGCCGCCTTCCAGCGCTGCATCCTCGGCCTGCGGGCACAGGGTGGTCAGCCGCACACCCCCCCTGTCCCTCCAGCAGCAGACAGACGGGTGCAGGGCGCTGGGCCAGCCACTGTGGACGGAGTGGGGCCGGTGACTTTGAACAACTCCCGCTTAATAACGATCCATAATAACATAGAAATAATTCAGTAGGAACCTAGAAATGACTCATCCCCATTCAAAGAAGTTGGGAAAAACTCCCCAAGGAGGGGTTGGGCTCCCCTGTGCCAGGGGTCACAGGGAACTGCCCCCCATCTGGGGGTCCCAGGGTGCTTTCCTGAGGGGCCGATGGTAGAGTCCAGACTTGAGCAAGGGTACGAGTTGGCCGGGTGGAGGAGAAGGGCATCTCAGGCAGAGCCAGCAGCCAGTGCAAAGGCCCTGAGGCTGGCCGGAGCTTGGAGAGAAAGGAGGTGAGGGCCTTCCAGCAGGTGGCACTGTGGGACAAGGGCAGGGAGGAGGGATGGGGCTTAGGACAGTCTGGGAGGCAGGAACCTGGGGTTGAGACTTTGTTCCCTGCATATTGATGTCCCTGAGTGACTCTTTGCCCCTCTCTGAGCCTCTGTTTCCCCTCCAAGTGGGTAAACTGATGCCCGGAAGTGGGCAGATGGACCAAAGCTGCCAGGGACACTGAGTTCCACCTCCAGGCCTTTGCACAGGTGGGTCCTTCCACCCAGAACTCTCTTTCTCTCCCGCCCCTCCCCTTCCCTTCCCTTCCCTTCCCTTCCCTTCTCTTCCCTTCCCTTCCCCCCCATTCCCCTTTCACTCTCAGCTTGGACTGCGCCTCCTCCAGGAAGCCTTCCCTAACCACCTCCCCTCTCCCCTCCAGCTTCAGGTCCTGAGCTTCACCCATTAGGACACCGGTGACTCGGTGCTGTGACTGCCTGGTGGCGTCGTGCTCCCACACACAGTAGGTGTTTAGTAACCCACGTGTGCTCCCCACCCCCCACCCTGTCCTGGCCCGCCCCTAGCCCGCGTTTACATTCCCCCGCCCGGCCGCCTGGTGTCGGCGCCGAGCCTGGCGGGCCGCCCGGTGTAAACATTTACAGCGAGCCGGGCTGGACGCCGTCAGTGCCGCGCCTGGGCTCAGCCGGCGGGTCGCCCCGCGCTGCACGGGGACTGATTTGCGTGCGATTTGCATGTCATCTGCATGCGATTTGCATGGACCGGGCCGTGTGGACACCTGCGGAGACTCGAACCGCCCCTTCCCCGCACCGCCCACCCCCACGGATTCTGAGCACGGGCTGCACCCACCAGACAGTAAGTAACAGATGTTTATTAAGCGCCGGCTGTGTACCAGGCCTGGTGCTTGATCCCACGAGAGAAGCACGAGCACCTCCGTTTTACAGCTGGGGAAACCAGGGCACGAAACGGGTTGGCGCTTGTCGGAGGCTGTTCGGCTACAAAAGGAGATGAGATTTGAACCCAGGTTCTTGGACTTGGAGGGCTGTGCTTGGAGGCAAATGCTGCCGAGTCACCCCAAGGACTCTCGTTATTGGTGGTTATTTCATTCTGCCGTGTTCGTCCCTGTCGGTGGTGGTGGTGGTGGCAGGGACTCCCTGACTTGGGGGCACGTGAACATAATCCTAGACCGGCCTGGGGGTGTCTAATGAGAGTCACCTGGAGGGGAGGGTGACGCTCCCCCACGGCCAGCCCAGCTGGTTCACTGGCGCATAATTAAGTGCTTAATAGACAGTTGCTGAATGAATGAATGAAGTAAAGAACACAAAGAAGCGAGGCACTGAGTGGCTCAGACCCCAAATTGGAGAGTCCAGAGTTTCACACGTGTCACTTTAACATGGCACCAGCCCCACTCCGGAAACCTTCGTTTATTAAGCACTGACTATATACTAAGCCCAGAGACTTAAATTATCATTTCTTTTTCATCCTCCCAGTAAATTGGTCCATCCGTTCATTCACTCATCTAACATTTATTGGGCACCTGTATGATGTGCCAGGCCCTGAGGACACTGTAGGGACCAAGACGGACAATATGCAAAAAAAAAAAATAAGAAAGATTAAAATGATTTCAGGCATGTATTATTAATATAAAGACAAACATAATGAAGGATTAGTCAAGGGTATTAGATACGCTAGGGGTGATCGGGGGGCCCTCCCTGAGGAGGTGACACAGGCGCCAAGACCCAAGAGTGCGAAGTCAGCTGGAGGAAAATCTGGGGGCAGGTGTCCCAGGTAGAGGCATAGCCTGTGCAAAGGCCCTGGGGCCGGATGCACCTGGCATGTTACATGCCCAGCGAGGAGGCCCCAGTGGCTGGAGCAGAGTGAGGAGGGGGAGAGAGGGAGGAGGGGAGAGAGGGAGGAGGGGAGGGCAGGGAGGGGACGGGGCAGGTCGTGCAGGGCCTGGTGGGCCCCGGGGAGAATATTTCCTTCTCAATGTTGTGCAGCAAGCAGAAGGCGGCTCCAGCATTTGTAGGTGCCAAAACCCACCCCCTTTTCTCCCTAACAAGCCCCTACTTTATTCCCAATCTCGTTCTATAAACTTAACGCATGTCATGTCGTTTCAACCTTCCAGAAGTCCTAAGAAGCAGGTAATGCCCTTATCCCCATTTTATGAGTGGGGAAACTGAGGCCCAGAGATGTGAACTGACTCGCTCAAAGTCACAGAGCTAGGATTTGAATGCTGGTGGCTTCCCCACCAGGAAAGGTAGACAGGCAAGAACCCCCCCACCCCCAACCAGGAGCCCAAGGTCACTCCGGACCCGTGGCACTCTGCTTGCCCTCACGCCCAAGTCTTGGAGTAGCGTGCCTCAGTTTCCCTGTCAGGCTGGAACAAGCCTTGGGCTCTGCTTGTCTGTTTCTAATGAGGGCTTAACACAGGGAGGGCGGATGAAGGAGGAGTCAGTCCCAGACTGGCCTGGCCACAGGAGCCCCTGGTGGCCTTGGGGCTGCAGACCCCCCACCCGGAGCTCTGGTGGGGGGCAGGGAGGCAGGGGGCCATCGATGAACGCGGCCCAGGAGGCACCTCCGATAAGCAGCCGCTAACAATGGGCCTTTCTGTACGGGGGTCACCTAACTGGTTTGTCCCTGGCACGGACCCGACCAAGGGGGGGTGATGCAGGTGTGCAGGACGCGCGCGCCTGCGCGCTGGAGGCTCCGAGCCCGGGGAGGGGGTTCACACACACGGCTCTCTTTTGGGCTCACACCCGCTCACACTCAGGCGTCTCCTGTGCCTGCACACACAGGTCCTTTCGCTCTCATACACGCTCACACACGTGACACTGTCCACGTGCACATGTCACATGCATACGCTGTCACAGCGATCATGCTCTCACACTCAAACGTGGTGACACCACCATCCTTGGGGACTTTCACACTCTCAGCACACATTCGCAGCTGGGTGTGGTGGCTCGCACCTGTAATCCCAGCGCTTTGGGAAGCTGAGGTGGGGAGATCACTTGAGGCCAGGAGTTTGAGACCAACCTGGGCAACACAGTGAGACCCCATCTCTAAAAAGAAAAAAAAAGAAAAGAAAAAACCCCACACATGTGGACATTTTCACACACATCAAAACACTGTCACACTCACACTTGGACATGATCACACGTGCATACTTAGGCATTTTCATACTTGCGCCCAAACACGATCACACGCACACTCAGATGTTTTCGCGCTCACGTAGTCGAACACGGGCACGCTCGCGCACTCAGATATTATCCCGCCCACACACTTAAACCCCGTCACGGTCACACGCTGGTGTGTTCTCACTCGTGCTTGAATGCTGTCGCACTCACTCCGACACGATCACACACGCACGCGCAGTAGGACGGTCTCCCGCTCACTTGGCCACGGGAGCTGTCACACGTCCACGCACTCCGGCATTGTCCTTGCACCTGGGCACAGAGAATGGGCCTGACCACACGCGCGTGCAGCCTCCGAGCCGTCCCATGATCACCAGTCCCTCCCCAGTGCATAGAGACAGGCCCCGTCGGTATGGGGGCATCATCCATCGTCCTTGCCTGCTGCCTGCTTGTCCCTGAGACCCTCACCTCCTGGCCACAGGCTCACACACACACACAGGGTGCACAGGGGATTCTGGGCGGCGCAGACGCGGTGGGCTGAGGGTGGCAGGAACGGGGACAGAGTAGGCAGGGTGGCTCGGGAGGGAAACTGCCCCGCCCTGGCCATTGCTCCCTGGCCCAGGTAAACTCCTGCTGGTATTTCAGGTGCCACCTACGCTGCCTAGGCCAGCGGTCCCCTCCCAGTCCTGGAGGAAATGTCAGGACCCTGAGAACCCACATTGCCTGCCTTGGGGGCCGCACCAGCCTGAACTGCGGCGAGGACAAAGGACGCAGGACGGACCCCGAGTTCTAGCTAAAGGCTACAGAATCCCCAGTGCTGGGGTGGCGAAGGAGGGGAAACTGAGGCTCGGAGAGGGACAATGAATACCCAAAGTTGCACAGCTGGGCAGGCCCTTCCAATCCACCCAGGGAGCAGGCAGCCAGTGCAAGGCGGGGTGTGTGTGTTTCTGGCAGCTTCCTTGGCAGTGCCAGAAAATGTTGCTCATCATCCTGTGCCCAGGCAACGCCCTGGGGCACCCCTCTTCCATCCTGGCTTCCCAGGGCACACCCACCGGGCATACCCCGTCCTAGGGTCAGTAGCCTCTGTCCTGCAGAACTCTTGGCCTCAAGGAGTCGCACCTGAGAGAGAAAGGAGGGGACCCCTCCCTCCATCCAGTCATCTCTTCTAGTCTGGGGGAGCCCTGAAATTGGGGCCTGACCCCATCTGGCAAACTCCTACTCATCCTGCAAAGCCCTAGCTCCTATGGCCCCTTCACCAAGAAGAAGACTTCTCTGCTCCTCATCTTGGCCATGAGGGTCCCTTCCTTTTGCCCAGCCCCGCCAAAACAGGGTCTGTGCGCGCAGCTGTTTTTACTGGACAGCGAGTTTTTGGAGGGACATCTGGGCTGAGATCTCTCAAGGCACAGGGCAGACGGAGAGATTGCGTTTCTAGAGACACGAGCTTGCTGCACATCC